GGGAAGAAAAAAGGAAAGCTGGAGGGAGGTGGGGTTGACGTTTCTGTCCCCGCCTTCTCCCCTTACACACACACACACACACACACACACCCTTTATCCAGGGAGCTTGGTCGCTGCCACAGCTCGGATTACTCAAGCGTGCTTTCGCAGAAGCCAGCCAAGAAATCTCCAAACTCAGAGGACAAACAGCTACTCTTGGGAAGGTGGTCGCCCCAGCCCCCAGCCCCCAGCCCCCAGCCCCAGGGCTCCGTCCCCGAGCTGCTCCCGTGCAGTCCTCGCTGGGACCCCTTTGTAGCTGTTAGGTGCCTTCAAGTCAATTCCAACTCCCAGCCACTCTTTGTACAACGGAACAAAACACTGTCCGGTCCTGCGCCATCCTCCCCCTGAGCTGTAGAGAAAAGAGTGGTGGGGAAACCACCTCCAGGGAGGTGGCGCTCAGGTGGCTGGGAGGACCTGAGAGCCACTTTAGGGTGGAGGTGCAGTGCGGATCTCTGGGAGTGCAGGAGTGGACACCGAACCAGGACTGAAGTGACACGCCCGACCCTGCCCACAGCCAAGCCCGCGCCGCTGAGCATGCCCAGTGATCACCGCTGGAGTTACTGGAGCCACGGAAGAGTTGTAGGTTGGGGTGAATGAGTGTCTGGGTACTGGAAGGCTTCCAGAAAAGGATGAAGGTCAAAGTCTGTGAACTTTGAAACAAGGGTGGAGTTCGAGATGGGGGAGCAAGAGGGTGAAAGGAAGCGAAGGTAGGAGGGGCTCACAGGTATCAGCCTAACCTAAGTGTGTCCTCCAGCGTCGTTCTTCTTCCAGACTCCAGAGACACCCGTCTGCCCACTCCCACTATCTGTAAGGCGTCGTCTTGGTTAGGACACTGTGTCCTCTTAGGCTTTGCTTCTGAGAGCCTCCAAACCTGGGAATCTCACAGTGTACACTTCTGTCAAAACTGTCCTGGAAATTTAAGGAAATCAAAGGTGACCAAGCCACCGGAGCAGAGTGTTTTTCCTGTTATTTTTCTAGTATTTTCCCCCTCTTGATTTTCTTCCTTTCATTTCTGTTATGTCCATAGTTTGCTACACTCCCCGCTCCTGTCTTAAACAGAATTTGTTCCCTTTAGAACCTACAGGAATAGAACCAGGCTGACTCTCATGTCCCTCTCCTGGCAGCAGGGACACAGAGAGAAACCTCTCTTCAACCATGTGATTGGGTGGCTTCAGGGGTCTTCTTGCCCATGAACCTGCATGGCCTGTGCCTTGAGTCAGCTTGTTCATAATTTCTCAGTTGCAGTCTCAAATCTTTAGTGAGAAAAGGAAGTGGGACCTAGGAGAGCAGACAGGAAGGATTAGGTGGAAACTAAACCAAAGAGGAAATCAATAAAAAACTTTCCTTCCAATATCTACCTCCATACAAAAACCTAAGCAATTCCTCTTCTTCCACATCAGAGTAATGGAAATAAACAGAAATGCAAACTAGCTTTACTTTATAAAGAATCTTCTATGATAGGTCACAGATTCTTAGGGTATTTTGAGCTGAATTCAAATCCGTCACTTGAGTTTTGAAACAACACGCTCATCCAAAGTACCACTTAAAAGCCCCCAGCCCACCTTTCCCGGCTATTCTCTGGTTTTCTTTCCAAGTAGATCTTTCAGTCTTTCCGTTCCCCTGCTGTCCTTGGGCTTGACAGACACCAGAGTTCCTGTCCTGGGAATGGAATGCGTGGAGCTATCCATGGTGCTGACTCTGATTCTGCCGCTAGTAACTGCTCTCTGCCTATATTCAACCACATCACAGATAATAGACCTGCAAACTCAGGCAAGTGGTCCGGAGGTATTCATAGACACCACTTGCCTTCATTGGATACACATGGAAATACAGGTCGATATTTGCACCTCGTTCCCACAATGCTTTCCTTTCCTACATATCATCGGAACTAAATCTAAACTCTCCTCCCTCCACAAATGTCAATGACTCCAGAGACAATTTAACAACCTGAATGTACAGTGGGTTGTAATTAAGCTATGATATACAGTTTGAAGGCACAGTGATACAGCAGTAAGTTACAACAAGGTTATATGAATACTACTTCTTTACTTTTGCTTTTTTTAGTGCATGAAGATCCAGTGACTTGATACTGCTTACAAAGGAAACAAGAATTTTAAAATACAGTTTGAATTACAAAATCCGTTTGTCATATGACCAGATACATTGATGTATACAAGTCAACAGTGCATAATACCTTAATTTATGAATCTGATACTACTTTCCACATGCTACTGAGTTCAGAAATCTTTGAATTCCACTTCCTTTCCCACCACCACCTCCCACACCAGCCACCTGGAGAAAAGGGGCTTCATGTTTCTTGAGATATTTTTTCATTCTCAATAACCTTCAGAGTGGTGTGTTTGTTTGTTTGGGTTGTATACACAAACTGTGGTTAAATTTTCACTGTTTTATATATGGGCCAAGTTCTGTGGGCTTCATATTTTCTTAACTTCATTTAGCTCTAAGAATAGTTCTATTAAGGATTCAGTGTAAGATCATAGGACATTCTATAACCAATGTATTATAATTGATTGATCTGAGCAGAAGATTAAAGGCATCCTGTTTCTAAATTACCCCAGTAATCTTGTTCATGCATTATACATTGCTGCAGTGGAGACAAGTACATCAATCTATATTCAGCCAATAATAGAATCAAACCAGAAGATGATAGTCATGACTGTGTGCTGCCTGGAAAATTACCACCCCACCATCATGCACACCATCTTCAAAAGTGAAGCTCCGGTTTTCGGTTGAAGCCAGGTTTCATAAGGTTTCTGTTTTTTTGGACCTTTTAATAGGCCAAATATTGACCTAAGAATAATTTAAATGTTGGACTTTCATCAAATGTGTAGTTGAATAATCAGTACAAGCTGCTTCATGCAAGGATACAAAATAAACTCAGGCTTTGTCCTTAAATTATTTAATCATCAATGTATTTTTAAAAAACAAGTTATTTACCATTTAAGGTGTGTAAAAGAACTTTGAACAAAAACAAAACATAACATTCAATATGTTTTATACAGAAAATTGTGTATACGTGCTCACAGAAATAATGGAGCCCTGATTCATAATCTACTACTAGAAATTATTCAAGTCTCATGTGTTACTGCATGAATCTTTAAGGAAACAGTAGAGGCTGTTGAGGGCTAGTTAAATGGAATCCTTATATTGACAAAAAATGGAAAACTTTTCAGATTGATAAGTAATGAGATTTTTTTTTCACATCTTAAAAATAATTCAGAATATAAATCAGTGAAATCCATGCAATGTTTTATGAATTTAGCAAAATTAATTTAATGATCTGATGACCATAATGAAGCATTATAAAGGCTATTTTAATATGGATCTCTATAGGGATTCTGGGCTTCTACTAACTGGGTCATGTTTAACCTAGGAAACATCTGAATTTATAGTTACAAGTGAGGCAGATTTTAACTGTACTATCATATGAGGCTCTAGAATCTCATCAGAGACAGAACTTTTGAGGTCATCTATTAAAACACATAGTTCTGTGCTGCATGAACTAATAGAAAGAGAAGAGGGGTAAAACCAACAACTGTGGTTTATCCAGAAATTACCTTTTAAAGCAGAAAGCAGTGAGGCTATTTTATTCTTAGCTTCACATCTAAATTCAGTATACAAGATTCTACTTTCACTTTTGTGGTATCAGTAAGTCGGGAAATGGAGATAACATGTTTAATAAGAAGTCTTATAAATAGTAAATATTTATACAATGATTTTCTTGTGATATAAATACTCTGGAATTTCAAAATAGTAAATAATAACATTAGCATTATTATATAAGATAGGCAATTTAGATTAAGATTGTGTTAGTTGAGTGTATGACTGTGTGTGTGTTGTGTGTGGGATGAGCAATAAGATTTAGAATGTAATGCATGGATGGATCCTTTTCTTTCAAGTGGTTTGGGTTAACCCTTGTGACTCAAACTCAGAACCCCACTACCATGGAAGCAATTCCAAAACATAGCAACCCTTTCTAGGGCTTCTGTGACTGTAAACCTTTGTAGCAGATGACAACCTCATCTTTCTTTTGAGGAGCAGCTAGTGGGTTTGAACCATGAACTTTGCAGCTAGCCCAATATCTAACCCAGAACACTACCAAGTCTCTTTGAACTGGTGTCAGTTTCTAATATATTGGCAAAAGCAGGTCCAATTAGAAAACTGAGTATTCCTTAGGAAAATGTAGATCATTTCTGGTAATAAGTGTTATATTAATTTCAATACAAATGTTAGTATGCATTAACCTCAGATACTTTTGTTATTACATATTTAATAAAATATATACATCTTTACCAAATAATTCTTCTTAGGAGCATATTAGTGATTACATGTAACTCTTATTGTAAGAATAAGGTTTTCATAGGAAATAATAAGGTGTTTGTAGCCAATTCCCTTAAACAAGTTACCCCTTCCTGCAAGGGAGGGGGGCGGGGCGAAACTGGTCATATTGCTATTACATTTACAAACATTCAGTAGGTAGTGACTGAATTGAACTTCTATGATTTATGAACAAGTGTGCCTAGGAATCTAAATTTATCAAAATATACACATATAGATATTTCAGGTGACGATTTGATAGGGCAGAATATAAGATTATTGTAAAAGATTACTTCTTCACTCAATTTAATAAATTGCTT